GCAGGTCGTCAACTCCAGCAGGAGTCGAGAGCTGATGGTTCGGTTAACAGATTGAATCAATCAATGAACTGCGAACCTCCTTCCTATAGCCAGGAGAGGCTCTTAAATAAGGGAGAGACGGCGTGGTCACTCCCTTGAATCATGGGATGTGATCATGTCCTGTTGAGAGATGCCATGCCTCTCACTTGTACTGTGAGCGACTGCTTGATAGGCTCGGAGCATTGTACTCCTCCCCTTCACGTCGCAGGAGATGGGAAGGCTCATCCCTGTACGCGACAGCGCAGCCGCCAGGTACTCTGGCGGATTTGTTAATAATGTAGATGACGGCTTGAACATGCAGGCGAGCTTGGTCACTTGGACAAACTTGACTCGTGCAGGCGAGTCAAGTATGCATGCAAGTTTGGCGACTGTGTGGATTCGACTGGTCACTCGTACTGTGAGCGGCTACTTGATGGGCTCGGAGTATTGTACTCCTTCCCTCCACGTCACGGGAAATAGGAAGGCCAATCCCTGTACGCTATAGCGCAGCCGCTAGGTATCCTAGCGAGTTCGGCGAGTTTGTTGATCGCCTGGCGAATTGCCTGGCTGTGCAGGCGAGTTCGACGATCGCGTGGTATTGACTCGTGCTGGCGAGTCAACCACATGGGCGAGCTCCTTTCGTGCCGGCGAGCTCAACCCTTGAGCGGATTTGACTCATGCTAGCGGGTTAAGCCTGTGGGCGTAACCGAGTTCTTGATGTGCAGGCGAGTTCGACGATCGCGTGGTCTTGACTCGTGCTGGCGAGTCAACCACATGGGCGAGCTCCTTTCGTGCCGGCGAGCTCAACCCTTGAGCGGATTTGACTCATGCTAGCGGGTTAAGCCTGTGGGCGTAACCGAGTTCTTGATGGCGGGTTTTTTTAGGTCTTCTTGTAGTCAAGGCAATTTTTATAGCCTACAAGCGACGATTGAGACTAACGTCATCCAGGTGGAGGAGTCGGCCCCAGAAGAGCAAGCCGAGGCTCCCCATAAGAAGTTGGGGGTGAGGTGAGAGCCTTCGCAGACGAAGAGCGGGCATTCGTCGGCCGCACTAAACCATCTCGTCGCTTGGGGAAAGAGCAGGTCGCATAGGAAACGGCTCCTCCCGTGGGGTTAGAGTTCCCCTACACTCACCACGTCGTTGAGATTGAGGAGGAAGAATGGGATAGGATGAGGCAATACCTCATTGGGTCCTTGGGGTCGGCCCTCGATTTGGTCAAGAGCCCAACCTAGAGCGCCGCTACCAACCTACCCACCATCTCGACGTCAGGGGGGTCTATCCTTGGCTCTCGTCTGACTCAGGCGAGGGCAGTGGAGCAGTTCTAACTTCCCCGGAATGAGGAGTTCTTGAGCGGGATTCCTAATGTCGGTCTCCACCAAAACCTCTGGAGCTACTTGGTTTGGGGGCGTTGGTGGAGTAAGAGATATTCAGCCGGATGGAGCAGATCTGAACTTCTTATCTCAAGCTCTTGAGGGAGGTAACTTCCCTGAGGGCTAGCAGAGGGGACGACTCGGAATGGGCTACGGAGCTGTCAGCCCCAAGAGCTTCATGAGTTTCATCCGGCAAATCTTCATATAATTCGGTTGTATTCGTTGTAGGGTTAGCTGCCAAAAGATCACAAATCGCTTATCCTTTGACCAACTTCTGTTGTTTGAAGTGCAGGTCATATTCGGACAAGAGCAGGGCACATCTCGCTAATCATCAATTCATGAAGGTTGGTTGCATCATGAGTACGCGGACTGGGTTGACATTGGAAATGACGTAGATCGTCTGTCCAACCAGGTAGTGTCGTATTTTCTGAATTACGAACACCAGGGCGAGGCACTCCTTCTCAATCATTGGATATCGAGATTCAGCGCCTACTAAAGTTCGACTCAGGTAATATATCGCCTGCTCGTGACCGTTGTCATCGTCTTGTACGAGTAAAGCACTTAACGAGTGGTTCATCGCCTTGACGTAAATCAGGAACAGCTTCCCTGACTTCGGCGCAACGAGAGCGGGATGATTCGCCAAATATACTTTGATATCTTTGAATGCCTTCTGACAAGCATCATCCCAAATAAACGACACACCCTTCTTCGTGAGTTTAGAGAATGGTTGGCATTTTCCGGAGAGGTTCGAGATGAATCGACGGATATAAGCCAGTCGTCCTTGCAATCCTCTGAGTTCTCTGAGATTTTTCGGGGGTTGCAATTCGTGTATCGCATTTACTTTGTCAGGATCAATATAGATACCATTGATGGTAACGACGAATCCAAGGAATTTACCGCTGGACATTCCCAAGAAAGACTTGGTGGAATTCATCTTCAATTGGTGACTCCGCATGAGATCGAACATCATCCTCGAGTCTTAAATGTGGTCGTCTTTGTTGCGTCTTTTAAGTACCAAGTCATCAACATAGCACTCGACGATCTTCCAGAGATGTACCTAGAAAATCTTCGTCATTGCCCGTTGGTATGTGACACATGCGTTCTTCAAGCCGAAGGGCATAACTGTGTAGCAGAAGATGCCGAGTGGTGTTCTGAACGCGGTATGCTTTTCGTCGTCCGGGTACATCTTGATTTGATTGTAACCCAAGAATCCATCCATGAACGACATTCTCTTGAACCCACACGTGTTGTCGATGATAACGTCCGTGATCGGGAGAGGAAAGTCATCTTTTGGGCAGGCGGTGTTCAGGTCTCTAAAGTCGATGCAGATCCTGATTTTCCCGTTCTTTTTAAGGACCGGTACAATATTTTCTAACTAGTCGGGATGTTGCTCTTCCCTGATAAAACCCAAGTCCATCAGCTTTTTAACTTCAGACTCGATCGCTTCCATAATTTACGGGCGAAACCGTCTTTACTGTTGCTTGACAGGTTTAACATCCGGTTTGATGTTAAGGCGATGCATCGCCACATTTGGATCAAGACCTGGCATATCTTTGTAATTCTGGACAAAAACATCTATGTATTCCCTGATGAGGGCAATCAACTCTTCCTTCTCGTCTGGTGGAAGGCTATCGCTGACGAATATGGGCTTCGGATTTGCTTCGTCGCCCATGTTCACCTGGACCACTTTGTCTTTGGTGGGAGGTTCTCTTTGTTTGAATCTATCACCATATTGGATATTCAGGTGATGGATCCAAAGATCTTCCTAAGTTGGCAATTGATCGTCTTCCTCCATTGTGGCAGGATCGACCGTGGTCATATTCAACATCAAGCCTTTGTACATTTCTCCAATCCTGACGTTGGAGTCCTAATTTGAAGAATCGGATGAGTATCCGTCCTTATTCGCTAATCGGTCAATGACATGCCAGCAACATTCGTCATCGGATGAAGAGACATAGCCTAGACCCCTCTTATAGCCATAATAATCCTGTACACCTATTCACTAGTTACCAAAGCTAAAAAACTACCAACTTATCTTATCTCTTTTTTATTGTGCGTCCAAGAATATCAAAATCACAGGAAATGTTATTTGTGTTTGCTAATACTGAAATATGTGCACGTTAGAGTATTAGTTTGATTTCATACTGTGTGTACCTGCCATAATGGGTTTCATACTCTACGTACCTGCCATAATGGAGCTGAATATTGAGTATTCATATTATCGGTCGGTCAGGCTTGTGTGCGAAGAGAGAGGATACATATACGTATACATACATGCAGAAGTCGCTTTTAGGGTGATGATGATTTGTGCAGCAAGTCAAAGAGATACACATGTAAATCTATACACAAGAACCTTACCAGATACAACATCTACATAGAAAATGGTCAAAAGATAATGTGGAATAAGTCTATAATTCGAAGAAGCGTTTAGTTTTTATTCCCCTAACACGACATCTTCTCTGCATTATTGCACATTTGATAGTTTGATTTCTCGTTATTCAGGTATTCTTGCCATTGCCAACAGTTAATTCATGGCTCAGCAAGTAAAATGCAATTGCTGCTCAAGGGTAAAAAGAATGTAGTTACGTATCTCAAATTCTCAACCAAAACAAAATGCCAACTACAAGCATGACACCGACACAAGTAACAAAAATCGACATACAACAGAATGATGCCACACAAATGTCATCAGAAAGACAAGAATTGTTAACAAAAAAAGATAAACAGAGTGACAGCTGTAAAGTTTCATCACACAAAATGGAATTCTGGTTAGATTATATGACATCTTGAATTCACAAATATTTCTGGCACCTCACTTTAGGGCCTTCGGATAAAGCCCCAACATACAGAGTGATGCTACTCCTCAGGTTCAGGCTTTGCATTCGTTCTTAGAAGCACATGCTTTCAGCATTCTATCTTCCTCAACTATCCTTCTTATTGTCCAGCAGCACAGATACTCCCCTCCACCCCACGCCCCAAAAAATACCCACCCTACACCCAAATATGCATTTACTTTAGTCTCTTATTACATGTCCCTGTCTTCTCTGTTCCTCTCCTATGTTTAATTTTTATAAGCAGCTTTCTAATATGATAATTAGTATACTTGCTTTCTTAGTGCTTAAGGCCATGGTTCACTTGCTTGGTCATGTTTTAAAGTTGTATTTATATTGTACAGTTTTAAGTGCATCTATTGTTTGGCATATATTTAGAGTAGTTATAGGGTATATTTCTATTGCTCTGTTTCACGTATCATTTATTATAAATAAATAAATAAAAGAACAGAGCCTCTATTTACTTTAGAGCTTGCGGCTTATGGATTGAGTACTTCATTCTATGCTTTCGTTTTACAATATTTCTCTTAATATTGAACACATGGCAATACCTTAAATCAATTAGATTTGCAGAAGCATAAAGAGAAGTTAGAAGTTACCATCTGATTAAAATTTTAACTTAAACAGAATGCCAAATTTATTTGCTTTCTTTGAATGATAAACATGGTCTATGTTTCCGCTTATAATATTGCTCGTAATATGGAATACTTGGCAATAGCTTAAATCGGTTATATTTGAAGTGCCATAAAGAAAAGTAAGAAGTTAGCATCTGACTGAAAAATTAACTTAAAAAGAATTGTCAAATTTATTTACTCTTTGAATGAAAAACATGTCCTTGGACAATGCAATACACCTCCTCGTCCTTTCTGTGACTCGCAATCAGTACTAGATTGGATCTAAAAGAATGTAATACAATTTGAAAAGAAATAACAACATCCCCTATTTATAGAATTGCTGGATCCTTGTATCTCTTGAAGATATCCTCGATGCCATCAGCAACTTCAGTAGGTAATGGCCGAGGAGTCAAAGTAAACGCATCAATGTCCTCCTTCAACTGATCGAGAGAAGTTGCACCAATGATCGAGCTGGTCACGAATGGGCGATCACGTACAAATCCCAGAGCAAGTTGGACAGGGGTCAGGCCATGCTTCTTTGCCAACTCAACATATAGTTGTGTTGCTTCCTGATATATATAAAACTATAAGCAAGAGCATATGCATATTCTCCATGCTTTATTTTATTTCTTAGAGTTAACAGTAAAAGAAAAGGAAAAGAAGTGCCTTAAAATGAACATTACTGTTATCAATTATATTTGGAAAGAGGGAAAATTTTTTGAAATACTGAAACGTGTTCCATAGACTATCTGTACTCCAGTCATTATTTTTATTACTAAGAGGGAGAAGTGTTTCCAAAACAATTAGCTTCATATAATCACTGCAAGTAGATTGCCCTCAGATAAAAAGTTTGCATGTATGAAGTTTCATGAGTTAGCATGTGTCAGGAGTATGCCCTAGGTACAAATTAGTAAATTCAATTCAAGTTCAAGTTCAAGTTGCAATTTTGGGCAGTTCATCAAAAGAGTCTTCTTCAAAAATGAGGACTTTCTTTCCTGATTAGTCTAGGAAATCCTTATTTTCTAGAGTCATTAGGACTTGATTCCAAATAACATTAGATTTTTATTAGGTAAAAAGATCAGGTTCAGGAATCATTTTAAGGATGTGTGTGTGTGTGTGTGTGTGTGTGTGTGTGTGTGTGTGTGTGAAAATGGTAATATTGTTCCTCCATTGATCAAGACATCCAATAAGAAGGGTTTCAATTTATTCAAATGAACGATTTGAACATCTATTAATTCTAACAACTGATTGTAGGGTTGATCATTCGGACCTTAAATAACCTCCGGGTTTTTTCAGATTTGGCGAGCATCTGGAATAACTAGTGAATTACAACTCTATTGTACCGCAATTGGTGCATTGGTCTTTGCATTGTTAATGCTTTTTGCGGGTTTTTTTCGTGTTTCAGAATACGGTTAACCAACATGTTAACTAATCGATTACGATAAATTGGATTGGATTTTGCAGTTTTTTCTTCTGCAGTACCTCGGCGTGACATGAGCGTGAAAGAGGTACTCATACAAATAAAAATATGGGAGAAGTCGGGAAGATGCAGGTTCATTTATCTGATTGGCTAGTCAAGCATGAACTGACTCATAGATCTTTGGGCTTCGATTGCCGAGGATGTGTGTGTGTGTGTAGATATTGGCACATACAGACACAGTGCAGTCTCTGACAGGCAGAGCAAGCTAAGGAGCGCCACAGAGATAGGGAGATTCGCTTTAAGAGTTATTTGGCAGAATATTATAAGGAAGTTCAGAGGGACATTGTTTGCAAGGGAAGTCGGTTCTCAACAAGTTTTATTCTCTACTTTTCTGTTTGATTGATTCACTTTTCAGCGGCATGCACCAATTAGGATGCCTGACATTCTTCAATAAGAGGCACAATGTACCTCATTAAGTTTCAGTATCAGAATAATATTAAAACTAAGCAATGTATGTTGGAAAGGCAATATGTTCAAGATATAAACATCAATTGCTTCTCATGTACTACAGCTATGCTCAATAACGGGCGTCTTTAATGGAAGATGGGTACCAATCAATGATAATGATGACGCGCCTATTGCTTTTAGACTCTAACTATATTGAAATACCAACAATAAGATACAAATTTCACATATTCATTCACATAAGAGATCAAACCTTTGAGGCAGATCTATTGTATCTCTCCATGTATCCAGGGAAGAGGTTCAGCCTGCCCGTTTTTGCAGCTTCCGAGTTGATATCCAAATACTTCCCGCTGAGTGTTCCACCACCCAATGGAGAGTAGGCTAGTAACCCAATATTGCAGTTATTTGGGTGACATACTTCCACTAGATCAACTGCATACAAATTAATCAGAATTAGGACTATATTGCAAGAAGATGTTAATCACGATGCTTCAAGTATATTATGAGTGCCTTTTCCCACAAGAAACATATGTAGACATCACTTCTGAATTAAAAAACAACATGAAAATTGGAAATGGATTCATTAGAGAGGAAAATATCTACTAAGAATATGAACGGACAACTCTAGACAAAAGTTATTTGGAGAAACTCCCACCTGCAAAGATCATGCTAATAATGAGCCAGTGCTCATATTTAATGTTTAAGCCACACTTGGTGACTATTAAAGTTTGGAAAGAAAAGAGATTATTGGAGAGTTATCTCCTCACTCTATACTTTATTTATAGAGATGGATTAACAAGTTAGTCTCACAAGAAATATGGGACTAAACTAATACTCTCTTTTTCTAACTCCCCCTCAAGCTGGAGCATATATATCATGCATGCCCAGCTTATCACAAATAAAGTCAACCCGTGTTTGACCAAATGGTTTGTAAGAATGTCTGCCAACTGATTTACTGTCGATACATGTTTTACCGTGATGATTTTATCCTCGAGCTTCTTGCGGACTACATGACAGTCGACTTTAATGTGCTTGGCTCTTTCATGAAACACGGGATTCTCAGCAATGTGAATTGCTGCTTTATTGTCGCCATATAGATCCATGGGACATTCTGGAGGGAGACCAATTTCTGTCAATAGGTCTCTGATCTAAACCATCTCTGGTGTCACATTTGTCATAGCTTTGTATTATGATTCTGTAATGGATCGAGATACAACACTTTGTTTCTTACTTTTCCATGATATTGATTTCCTCTGAGAAAGACATAATATCAAGTAGTTGATCTCCTATCAAAAGGATATCCAAGCCAATCTGCATCAGAGAAGACTACAACTCTGATGTGTCATTGATCTGAATAGAGAATTTCTCGTCCTGGAACCTTTTTCAAGTACCTCAAAATTCTCATTATTGCATCCAGTAGTTCTTGGTGTGGACAAGAACTGACTCACAACATTGACTGCGAATGTGATGTCATGTCTGATCACCGTCAGATAATTCAGTTTCCCCACCAATCTTCTATATTGTCCAATATCTTCAAGAAGCTCCCCCTGATCTGATAGTAGTTTTGAGTTCACATCCATTGGAGAATCACTGCTTCTGTATCCTAACATCCGAGTTTCTGAAAGCATATCCAAAACGTACTTTCTTTGTGACAGAATAATACCCTTCGTTGACTTTGCGACTTTAATGCCTAGAAAGTATTTTAGGGAACCAATACCTTTGATTTAGAAATGTGTCTGTAAATGCTTCTTCAGGCTGTTAATACCAGAAGCATCATCCCCTATAATTACAATGACATCCACATAGACAACAAGCAGAATTCGTTTCCCATTCTGAAATCGCCAGAAGACAGTGATCTTTCTGTGCATGACAGAACCCAAATTCTTGAATAACCAATGCAAAACGTCCAAACTAGGCTCTCGGAGATTGCTTCAGACCATAAAGTGATTTCTTCAGCCTACACACTTTCGCATTCTCCCCCTGAGCAACAAAACCTGGTGGTTGCTCCATGTAAACCTCTTCATCTAGAATACCATTAAGAAATGCATTATTGATGTCCAACTGATGAAATGGCTAGTGATTTGTCGTTGCTAATGAGATAAAAATCTGAACAAATGTCATTTTTACCACTGGAGAGAAGGCATCTAAGTAATCTAAGTCATACACCTGCGAATAGCCTTTAGCAACCAGTCGGACATTCAGGCGTGCTAAAGTTCCATCAGAATTCAATTTGACAATGTACACCCACTTGCAGCTGATGGGCCGCTTTCTTGGTGGAAGTGGGACCAAATCCCAAGTCACATTCTGTCGCAAGGCCCTCATTTTATCTTGCATCGTTTGGTTCCAACCTAGAATAGACAAAGCTTCTGACATATTTTTGGGAACCAAATATAAGTCGAGGGAAGTAACAAAAGATCGAAAGATGGAGAAGAGGCGATCATAAGAGACAAAGTTAGAAATAGGATGTTAACTACAAGGTTGTGTCCATTTTCGAAGTGCAATAGGAAGGTCTTTTGCAGAAAGGGATAAATTTGCACTTACTGATTCTGGTTCTTCTAACAGAGGATGTGGTATTGAGGTTGACGTTAGCTTAGGAGCAGGAGCAGAGCGACAATGATAAACTTGAATTGGGTCTTTAAACCGAGTGGAATCTTTGTCAGTAGCACAAATAGTATTATTAATGGATGAACCACCACCGTTAACCAATGACTCTTGTAGGATTAAATAGTCATACTCATCCGATGATAATGGAGTCGGAGAACTAGAATAACCAGGTTTGTCTTCAAAGAATGTTACATCAGCAGATAACACAAAACGATTGAGTGATAGACAGAAACACGTATAACATTTATGTTTTCGGGAGTAGCCAAGAAAAATACATTTAATAGACCGAGAGTCAAACTTTTATTTATTTGGACTGTGATTATGAACAAAGCACAGAGAACCAAAAATCTTTGGAGGAAGCGAAAAAAGATCATCGTTGGGGTATAGAACTTTTCTTGCAGAACAGAAGAGGACATTCGATTAATCAAGTAACATGCTGTTAGGATAGCTTCCCCCAAAACTCTTTGGGAACGTAACGATGAAATAGCAATGTTCGAGCAATATCAAGGAGATGTCTATTCTTTCGTTCAGCAACTCCATTTTGTTGAGGAGTGTAAACACAAGAAGACTGATGGAGAATTCCATGTTCAAGAAAACTAGTAAAATTATCATCCAAATATTCCCTTGCATTATCAGATCGAAAAAATTTGCGAAGTCTTGAATTGATTGACTATTTCAGAATAAATGAGTTTAAATGTAGAAAAGACTTTAAACCTAGACTTGAGAAGATAAATCCAAGTAACACGAGAGTGATCATCCACAAAACTAACAAAGTATCGGAATCCCAATTTAGAAGTTATTGGGCATGGCCCCCAGACATCAGAATGAACAAGATCAAATAGCTTTGCAGCCCTCTTATTGACTCGATTAGGATAAGATACACGATGGAGTTTGCCAAGTTGACACAACTCACTCTAAAGAGGAAAGAGATTTGAACTGGGAATTTAGAAGCTTGAGAACAGAGAGAGAGATGCCCTAGCTGACAATGGTATTGTAGAGCTGATGAGTTTTCAATACACGCTAAACGTTTGGCGCCTAAATCCAGTTTATAATGGTCGTTCTGCTCGTGTCATGTCCCAATCATTTTTCTCATGACCAGATCCTAAAAGACACAATATGTGGGGAAGAATGTCACAGTACAGTTTAGTAATTTAGTAATCTTACTAACAGATAAAATGTTATAGGGAAAACTAGGAAGATAGAATACGAAGGAAATGGGGAGACTAGGTGTAGGATTAGTGTTACCGATACCCTGAACAGGTGTACGTGAACCATCAGCTAATATAACTGACTTAGATGTAGGAGAGAAAGAGGACATGATACATTGATTCCCAGTCATATGATTAGTGGTACCTGTATCTATAATCCAAGTATGAGACGAAAACGATGTAAGTAAATATAAAGAGGTACCTGTACTTTTGAGAGTACTAGATAAAGAGGAGGATGATGGTTGTGAATTTTGGTACTACTAGAATAATTAAAATTACTGAAATTTACGCTGCAACTCCGCATCCTGAAAGATTGACTGTAGTTGACTTTCACTGTCATATGAAGTGAAGTTATCATGAGCGACCATGTAAGCACCCTTGGCCTTCTTCTTTTCTAATTCAGGACAATTATATTTGAGATGTCCTGATTGGTGACAGTAGTTACAAGTCTTCACTGAGTCATCGTCATTAGTATGTCTGCCTTGAGATGGACCTCCACGGCCACCTCGTTGACCACCTCAGCCCCCAGAACGACCACTGTGGTAACCTCCTCTCCCTTTAAAGTTACATCTACCTCTTCCAGGACCACCAATATGATCCCCTCGTCCATAAGACTATCAACTCTGAATGGCAAACGCAGAGCAATCCGCGATGGATGTAAGTGGCTGTGCAGGGACAGTGTCCTTCAAAAAGTGATAAGTCTCAACCAGAGAACCAATGGCGGAACTCCCCATGATTTGTGGTCGAGCAGAGGAGTAAATGGAATCTAGGATACCCAAGTAGGTGAGTACCATAAGTTTGTTCCATTGGTTTTACATCTGTTTTACATTCCCAGTAACAGAAGAAATCTGACGAAGTTCCTCAGTCAGACGATTGAACTCACTATAATGATCATCCATGGATTTATCATCCCGTTTCTTACGAAACAGCTCTTGAATAACTTCATATGCTCGATTAATATTACTGCTACCCCCATAGAAATCTTGTAAGAAACACCAAAGTTCCTTCACTATCATACAATGAAGGATTAAATCATGAATTTTAAGCTCCATAGTATTAAAAATTTGATGTAAGAGGACACTATCATCTAATGTCCAAGACTCCGGTGTCGGAGTAAGAGGGTCCGTCAACAAATGATCAATTTTACCTCGGCCGGCCACGTAGATTTTAATAACACGTTTTCACTGGAAATAGTTAATTCCATCAAAATTTCGGTAAGTGATTCTATCAGAAAATATCTCCGAAACTTTCATTTAGACTGTTAACTCAGAATTCTTAAGTTCCTCAGATCCGGTCATCATGAAACAGACGAGTAGAGATCAAGACGTTACCCTCCACAAGTTGAACAAGTCCAATAACCCGAAGGTTAACAATGCAAGAACCCGAAGGTTATCATACAAGAACCCGAAGGTTAAAATGCAAGAGTCCGAAGGTTAACATGAAACACGAAGGTTAAAATTCAAGAACCAGAAATATTTTTTTTTTAGAACAATTTGCAGATCTAAGTCAGATCCGAAAACAAAGGGACATGACAACGGCGACGACGACTGACGGGAGTTGTGGAGGAAGATCGGATCGGTGAAGTGGATCTGGATCTGGAGTTTCCTCCGTGGACCACTGATTCAACGAACCGAGTCAGACGTGAAGGAAGTTTGACGTTGATGTTTCGATTGTGGAAACAAGAACTGAAGTGAATATCTTAGCAAGGTAAGATAAACACTTTTCTCAAGATCAAATTCAAGTTTGAACTCGAGGAAACACCGAGCAAGGTAAGATATCCAAGTTGTCAAGGAAGCAAGTGGCAACGAACAAAGCAAGTGACAGCAGTGACGGACGAAGCGGACAGCGACGGATTTGATCTTTGGCGGCTAGGGTTTCGAGAGAGAGGAGAGGAGAGGAGGCGGAGAGAGGAGAGGAGGCGGCTAGGGTTTCGAGAGAGAGGAGAGGCGGCGGCTAGGGTTTAGGAATTAGGGTTAGAACAAGTGGCAACGGGAATTAGGGTTAGGGTTTAGGGTTTAGGAAGCTCTGATACCATGTTAAAGTTTAGAGAGAGAATATATTATTGGAGAGTTATCCCCTCACTCTATACTTTATTTATAGAGATGAATTAGTTACAAGCTAGTCTCACAAGCAATGTGGAACTAAACTAATACTCTCTTCTTCTAACAGTGACCAATTCTCAAGCATTTTTCTTTTTAATATCTCTTTCGTTGTCCCTGCATTTTATAAATTCTATCTCTTCAGATACACAACACACTATGAAATTCAAGTCTCTTGTTGATCATTTTCTCAAAAAACATGTACGCAAATGCAACTGAAAGAAAAACAACACTTTACTACTGGAAGAAGGGACAAGGGGAGTCCAAACTAGGAGGTAGACGTTACAAGATATTTTATATGCTTCATATTCATTATTGATGATATGACTCAAATGTGCATAGCCTAGCCCCAATGTTACTTCTTATTTACAGATTGGTGACCTAAAAGGACATACCTTCAAATTTGCACCTCACAAGTAGGCTATAGTTATTCTGAATGCTGATGATCTTGGGAAGCCCTTCAAGTTTTGCAGCGTGTACAAATTCCATAACTCCATATGAAGTTTCATTTGAAACTCCTATATAGCGTACCTAGGGACAAAGGGAAAGAATGATAAGAAAACAATAGAGTTAGGTTCCACATGTCCAACAAAACTGAATCTCGATTACAGAAATTACGGAAGGTGTCAGCATAGAATATATGGGGCATAGAACTTATACCAGTAAGGAGTGATAAGATCACAGTAACAGATTACTTGTGTGCACCAGTAGGAAGTTATAGAATCCTAATTGAAGATGTAAGTAAGATTAGAAATAGACTAAACCAAATAGGGATCAATGCGAATGAAAAAGATGGTGTGGTTGCTAATGACACTAAGAAGAGGGAATTTGACAGTGCTTGATAGAGAAAAGAGATTAATATAACGAAAAACTGAAACTACACTGGAGGCTCTTTAAAAAAGGTTTTCTCTTCTATGCATTCTCTTTAAAATAGATTAAAGGTTTTAATTCAGGCTCTACATAGGAATAAAAATGAGACACTTTTGTGCCAATTAAAGGGTCATCTCCATGTGGTTGTTTCCTTGTTGGGTCAAAATAGCAGAAGGGTTATTTTGGGAAAATCAGTCAATGTACAATCTCTCTCTACACCTCTGAGCTGGCTTAACGTTTTTTCCACGCGGTAAAGTGGTTGGGTATTGTGGGAATTGACTAAGTTGTGTAAAGAGAGAAGGGGTTTTGGAGAGAGGACTTTTAGAGAGGAAACAGACAAGAAGGAAGTTGGCTCCTGCGAGGCTGGGTTTCTCGTGAACCCAGCCCAAGAATCTAACTCTTGCATCTGGTCTCACTCTTGTTCACAAACTTGGCTCTTCACGTGGCCTTCTCCTATTGGCCACATTCTGCTCTCAAGAAGAGATATCCTAGACAATACCTTTGTTCGCGGTGAAAATTGGTGTCTTTCTTCATTATTGATTCCATTGTCATCTTAAATAACAGCTTTTTTTAGTTACAAAGATCCGGTCTTTTTATAAGATCCGGTTACAATGAAAATCAAAGAAAAATAAAAATAAAAAAAAGATTACAACTTTCTCCTTGTTTGTCGAACAAATCACGAGCTCCTGTTTTGCGGTCGCTCGCTTGCGTGGGTTGTTTGCCTGCGCCGGGGTTAATCCGTGGACCACCGCGAGATCTAGATCCGGTCGGATCTACGCAGTACGACGGGTATTATTTCACCAAGGAAATAATAGCCGGGGGAATTGGTTCACCAAGGAAACAATCGCCCAAATCTCGGGATCAAAGGCCAAGCTTTGATCCGGAGTACGCCTGCGTAGATCTGAGATCCGGTCCTCTCGAACTCTTGCCTTATTTGGCGTTGACGATCGCCGAGCACCAGATCTGGATGAACAAGTCCTCGAAGTCCTAAAGTTTGAATCTTTTTTAGATCTGAGTCTTCAATCCAGCAGGGCTTCGCCTCCAAAAAATCCAACCTTTTCAAATGAACAAAGAGGAGCCTATTTATAGGCTCTCTGAACTGTGCCCGCGCACAGATCTGGGTCGGCCACCCATGGGTGGCCGGCACTGGGCCGAGCCACCCATGGGTGGCTCGGCGGTTGGATGACTCGTTGATTCCTTAATTCGTTAGCTTGATTCTGCACGCGGGTGGATTCATTCCGTTGTTCGCGTGCGATTTGTCGATCTCGTCGCCTCGTTGGTTCGTCGGTTTGTGCCGAGCTATGCTAGGGGACCTATAAGCAATTTTATATGCCTACAGATACCCCCTCCAAAGTATTTCAGCCTCGTTCTTTTATAGAAGAGTCTGGAATACTTTGGATATGATTGTCCCAACCTTCAGTCGGTGTAACGGGACCTTGGAATGGCTTCTGTTCTTGATTCCTTCAATCCTTCAGGCTATTCGGTGCTTTGTCGAATGTCTGTAAGAGTTCCGGTGCTGCATTTATTGTCTGACCGTTGTTAGAATTTTAAACTTGAAGTCGATTCCTGATTTTCTAATCTTTAGCTGACCATCAATTGTTGGCGTTGAGTTTTTTATTTGCGACGCGTTGTCCGGCGTAGTGTTGTTGAGTTATCCTTAAGAATATTTATAAAAATATTCTCCAGGAACTTCTCAACCAAAAATAGGGAATAGTTTATACTCATATACCTTATTGGAGTATTAAGAAGCAGTTTATACTCGTATACTTTTCGGAGTATTGATTCTTTCATTGCAACGCGTTGATAGGCGTTGACCTAGGGTTACGCGTTGTCCGGCGTTGACCTAGGGTTTTGAACGTCGTACGTTGATTTTTTGATCGCAACGCATTGACTGGCGTTGACCTAGGGTTACGCGTTGTCCGGCGTTGACCTTAGGGTTTCGAACGTCGTTGGATGCTCAAGTCACGAGACCAACTAATGGAGCTGATGCGTCAGTGACTTTCGTATTTATAGGATTTTTGGCAAATCCTCAGCCATCAACGGGTTTGATGCGCCTTTACCGACTACCGTTTGAGTCGGGCTAGCATGCGGATTGTTCAAGTCCGTTCCGCATGTGACGTTAAGCTAAAAGAGTTAACCCTTTTAGTGCTACGATATTGAATACGTAGACTTCGTCTTTCTCCTGTGAAAAGACTAAACAGCAACGTGTATGAGACGTTGACTTAGGATTTTTGGCAAATCCTCAGCCTTCAACGGATTTGACGTGCTCTTACCGACTACCGTTTGAATTGGGCTTACATGCGGATTGTTTTAATCCGTTCCGCATGTGACGTTGCGCTAAAGGAATGAACTCTCTTAGACTTTGTGCTATGATGTTGAATACATAAGCTTTACCATTTGTTACGGGAATAGGCTACCCGACGACGCGTGTTAGGCGTTGACTTTAGGATTTTTGGCTAACCCCCAGCATTTAACGGGTTTGATTAGCCTTTACCGACTACCGTTTGAATCGGGCTAGCATGCGGATTGTCTAAATCCGTTCCGCATGTGACGTTGTGCTAAAGGAATGAACTCCCTTAGACTTGATGCTACAACTTCGAATATGTAGACTTTGCCATTGTTATGGGAATAGGCTACCCAGCAACGTGTTTTAGACGCTGACTTATCCCTACTTAGGCTTCGGGATAAAATTTCCCAAAATCAAACTCTGGTGTCTTTTTCTTCGGAGAAAGACTAAACCGGCGACGCGTGTTAGGCGTCGGCATATCCTTTCTTAGGATTCAGGATGAAATTCCCCATGCGTGTAAGGCATGGATTCTGGTGTTATTAATAACAACCTGTCTGTCACAATGTTGAATATGTGAACGAGTGTTCTTTTTAACGGTTAAGAACTAACCGGCGGCGCGGGTTAAGCGCCAACTTATCCTTGCTTAGGTTTCAGGATAAAATACCCCAGAATCGAACTCTGGTGTCTTTTTCTACGGAAAAAGACTAGACCGGTAGCGCGTGTTAGGCGCAGACTTATCCCTACTTAGGATTCGGGATAAACTTCCTATACCTGTGAGGCACGGATTTTGAGAGTTGAAAAAGGTGGTGTCTTCTCTTGGGGCAAAGACGAACCCGAAATGGGAGAGGAAGAATTTTATATTCTATCTCCCGACACTGAGGAAGAATTTTATATTCTATCTTCAGCCAGAAAGGAGACTCGATGTGGGATCTCCACCCCCAGAATCCAGAAAGGTGAAACTAAGAGTGTGATCTCCACTCCGAGAATCGAAAAGATTCAGATAACACTAACTGTCAGAAGGTTTGATTACCGAACTAAAGATGAAATTCTCGTTTATCGAGAGTGAATTGTGGTTTTGGTCCTAACTGTAGGAAGGTTTGACCAAGCAGGAGTTTGAGATGACCCTAACTGTAGGAATGTTTGATCACTCGATTTTAAAGTGGACCTCTCGTTCATTGGAAGAATCGAGAGGGGATTTTGATTGTGGCCCTAACTTTTATAGGTTTGACCTGAAAGCAAAGAGAATGGAATACAAGTAGCAGTAGAAATACTGGTTTGTACTGGCCACTCGATGAAGGGTTTTGACGTTAAGTAATCAGGACTTAACACGTTAAGCTTTGAAAATTGCCATGAATTGGCGGACAGAAAATTTAGTGGACCCACCGTCAATTGACTTGATCAGTGGGGGATTTTTGTGAGGAAAGATTAATCTGTCAAAAGGATCGAATCTCGTTTCAACAAGATAACTCATGAGAATTAGTGAATTTGATAACAATAATGGAAAACATTCCAACCTTTAGAGTTTAAATGTGGATGTTTTACTTATCACTTTTATAGTGATTGGGTTATCCCTAAGAATATCACTCGTGATATTCTTTCGGGAACTTTTCGATACTTGAATAATCCACCCCCAACTTCTCTTGTGGAACTGGGTCCGACATTGTACTGAGTTACATGACCGGGTTATCCTTAAGAATATTATATATAAAAAATTCTCCAGGAACTTCCCGTGAAAGAAATGAAACAGTTTAGACTCATATACATGTTGGAGTATCAGGAAGCAGTTTAACCTCTTATACCGGTCGGAGGATTGAAAAGCAGTTTATACTCTTATACTCGTCGGAGTCGTGCCGTTCTTAACTGGCTTACCTTAGCGTTATGACGCCGGCTTCAACCAAGGTCTGAATACTATTTTTGAGAGTGAAGCAATCCTTGGTGGGATGAAGGACCCTCCTGTGGTATGCACAGTACTTTGGATCTGTCGTGTTGTCAGCTTCCTCCTGATTTGTGAGAGGTGGTAGCTTGATCTTGTTACTTTCAAGGAGGGATTCGAAGATGGCTGGAACGTCTTCGTCCTTGAAAGAGTACTCTTTTTGGAGTCTCGGACCCGAAGTCTTTTGCTGCCTTCGGGATTGCTGTTGTGACGTTTGATTAGCATCAACAGCAGCTGCAGGTGATTTGCCTTTACCACGAGAGGCAAAGTTCGAGTTCGGAGGATTAACCGTCGGTCGGTTCCTCTCGGTCTTTTTCCTTCGGAGGAAGCGTTCGACTTGTTCACCGCGCACCTTCAAGTCTTTCCAAGTGTCAGACGGTGCTGTTCCCATTGCTTCCAACACGTCCAGTGCAAGGTTGTTGTGGCAAGTCTGGAGAATGA